CCGCCCGCGGGTGGGGAGGCCGGCGGCCGCTGGGGACCCGCGGGGACGTCCTGGCGGGCTGGGCTGGGCGGCCCCAGCTCTTTCTGGGTCCCCTCTGCCCCTGACTTGGGGGAGGTGGGTGACAGCTGCTCCAACAAAGCCGGGGACAGCTGGGAAGCCGGGGACAGCTGGGTGGGTTAGCACCCCCTCTCCCCAGGCCGTCCCAGCCGGCAGCGTCCCCGCAGCTGCGCGCCGAGGGCCGAGGGCCGAGGTGAGGGCGGCTCGGGGCTGGGCGGGGCTGTGGCCTGATCCACCCCGTCCCCTCCTCCTCTCCGGGTGAACGCGCGGAGGCGCCTGGAAAGAGGACCCCTCCACCAGCCAAAGCGAAAGTAGGCCAAGTGGGTAAGGAACCGGGCAGCTTCCTGTCTTGGCTCCCAGCTCTTGGCATGGTTAACGTCCCGGGGCTCATGACAAACTGGAGGAAGGACGGCGAGACGGAGCAGACGTGCGCGAGGCTCGGCCCGTCCACCCGCACCTGCCCCGCCTCTCGCCCTCGCATCCCGGGCCGCGGGGCCACCCTGCCCTCGCCACCCGCCCCTTTTCGCCCCTAACAGGTGCAGGGCGGGGCAGGGCTCCCCGCCTGGCTGGGGAGGGGGCCAACGGAGCACCGCCCGCCCTGCCCGGAGCCCAGCTCTGCGGGACGGGTGGGTGCGGCGCTCGGGTGCGGCTGTGATCTGGCCCGCGCGAACCCCCATCCTCTGCTCGCCTGTTCCATTTTCCTGAGAGCTGGCTGCGGAGCGCTGCGCCTCAGACCACTGGCAAGGGACTTAAACCAGAGGCTGTCCCACACTGCCGACCCGCCCAGACAGGGGGCAAGAGGCACCCACAAGAGACGGGCACAGGGGCTCACCTGACATTTACACAGAACCTCAGGCAGAGCTTTTGGCACATTTGTGTTCCCGACACTCTCGGAGGCTGAGGCAGGGGGATCCCGAGTTTGAACCCAGCCTGAACAATTTAGCAAGAGCCTCTCAAAATTAAAAAGGGATGGGGATGCAGCTCAGTGTGAAACCCTGCCTGGGTTCAATCCCAAGTGCCGCCAAACCAAAACAAACCACCCCAAAACAAACTCCCCCCAAACCTCACCTGGCTGCTAAACACAGAGCAGGCCCCTGTAGAGAGCACATGGGGCCCGGCTCCCGCCCCACCCCCCGGGGATCTGGGCCTTGAGAACTGGAGTCCACAGTCCGAGCGCTCCCCACAGCCCCGCTCAAATTCCAACTCCAATTCCAGAGGGTCAGAATCTCCAGGAGTTAGGAACGCAAGTTCCTGGAGCCCCAGCGCTCCCCACTGACGCTAAGCAAGAGCCTGCAGTCTTGTCATGCTTGAGATTGTGAAGAACTGCCAGAGCAGGTAGGTTCTTCATCTGTACCCACCTCTACCTCTCCCCTAAGTATGGAGTTCCCCCCTCTTTCTATGGGGGCCCAGCTGTTCTGCCTCGAAGCCTGCAGCCCTGGAGTGCCTGGCACAGTGTGTGCTCAATAAACACTTGTGGGCCGGAGGAGGTAAACTTTGCAAGACTCATAGAAAGGTAGCTCTCCTAGCTAACAGGGCACTCGCAGGACCTCTGGTGTGGCATGGGGCTGGGCCTGGGAGACCTTCAGCAAGTATCTGTCAAATGAAGCCAAGGTCAAGAGCAGAGGTAGTCAGTCAGTCAGTCAGTCAGTCACACAGGCCTGCAATCCTCCAGACCCAGAAGGGTGAAAGGGTGGGAAGGGAGGAAAGGCCCTTGTCTTCAGGACAGGCTGGACGCAGCCTCCCGGCTGCGAGGGTGGGCTGAGGCGAGAGGGAGTGGGACTGCGCCATCATATTTATTAGAAGGCTGGATTTCAGTGTGCTCTAGACGTTACAGAATAAATACCTGCGCCTTGAGAATGGTAAGTCCGCGGTCCATCCACAGTGCTCACTGCAGGAACGCACGAGATTCCAGGCAGGGACCCAGCGCGGGCAGCCCCTTCTGCTCCACTGACCTCAACAAGGGCTGTGCTATTCTTTTTATTTTATTATTTCTTTTATTTCTCTTTATTATTATTAATATTATTATTATTTGCTTTTGCTGTGGTCACTATCATTGGCAAAGTCCCTTTCTCCTCTCCTGGACATGAGGCTCCTGTCTGCAGAAGCCACTTTGCGGCTGGAGGTGCCGAAAGCTGCTTGAGAAGTAGCCTTTGACCTCTGTCTGGGAGGATGGTGAGGAAAAGGAAGGAGAAATCATTCTTGGCTTTAAAAAAATTAAAAAAAAAAAAACAAAAGCAAAACTCCCACAATCTATAGGTCATTCCTTACTCAATCAGTGATCAGACTGCCCGACAGAAAACCAGGAGGGAGAAGCAGGCCAGTGGGCACCGGGCCTTCCTCCGGGCAGGCGAGGGGCCGGTGCCAGAGGCTCTGGGGCAAACTGAGGTTCCTCCCAGCCCCAGGGGTGTGAGAGGGGTGGAGGAAAAAGGGGAGACGGAGAGGGAGCTCAGCGCCATGAGATGGACACTTTCCCAAATCTAGGGCCACCTGTGGCCCTGGCCCGGGCCAGCTCCCACTGTCACCTCCGCGTCCAGGAGATTCATAATAAAAAAAAAAAAGTCAGAAACAAAGGCCCAAACAAAATCCAGAAGGAAAAGCTCAGGGGGAGTGGAGTGAGGGAGGAGGAGGAGGGAGGGCAGGTCTCTGGATGCACGATTCCCAAGCCACCGGGGCAGGGGAGGGTCCCCAGTGTCCGCCGCCCGTGGCGTGGCGTTAGCTCGTCACGTAGTGTTTGGTGGACGGCTGCCCATACACCCTGTAGAAATCCTGGTGGCCGGGCTGCTGGGAGGCATCGAGCCAGTCTCTGACGGCCAGGCCGGGAAGGGACTGGGGTACGGAGGGCGCGGGGGGCAGCGGGTGGGAGTACTCCTGTGAGGGCACTGTCCAGGGGAAGTGGCCCGAGCGGGGGTAGGGCTGGTGGCCGCCATGGTTGGCCACGGAAGAACAGTAACAGTTGTCCACGGAGCAGACGAGAATCTTGCGGCCGCCGTACTGAGGGAGCATGGGCTGCTGGCTGGCGGAGCCGTTGGGGTACTGCGACGGGGGGAACACGGGGCTCGAGTGCACTGGCTGGGTGCCGCCCGGCAGGGCCACCAAGTGCTGCGTAGAGCTGCAGGGCCCCAGGGGCTGCCCAGACTGGCCCTCGCCACTGGCGGCGCCCGCTGCCCCGTACTGGCTGCCCACAGGGCCTGAGGACGTCTCCAGGAAGCCGGCCTCGGGGAAGGCGGTCGCGTGCTTGCGCTTCTCGGCCCCAGAGCTGCTCATGCCGCAGGGGTACAGCGGGACGCTCTGCAGGAAGGGCACCGGCGTGCTGAGGGGGCCTGTGGAGAGGGCAAGGGAAAAGTCGCCGACGCTCCCGGCCCAACCAGGCCCCTTCTCCCAGGGACCCTCCAACCCCACGGGACCCAGCATGAGCCACGCTGCTCGAGGCGCCCTCCAGGCCCCTCCTGTCGGGAGGTGGAGACCGGAATCCCACCTTCCAGCCGCAGACACTGAGGCTCAGGGAGGCGGTGGCACTTGTCCAAGGTCCCGGGGCCAGAGCAGGCTAAACTGGGATGTGAAGGGAAGTCCACCAAGGCCACACCGGCCCTGGTGGGACGGGCTCGGGCCTGCACCCAAGCCGAAGGCAGAGCTCTCGCTTCCACGGGGACCCCGCCCTCACCTTCCAGCATCTTCCGCAGCTGCTTCTCCTTCTTGGCTACCTCGTTCAGAAAAAGCTTGGAGTTCAGGTGGCCGATCTTGGGGGGAGACAGGCTGCTGCCCGTGCAGGTCTGGGTCCTGGGGGCAGCGGGCGGGGCGGCTGCTGTGAGGAGGCATCGCCGGCGAGCCCGCCCCACCACCCCCACGGGCCTGGCCTCCCGGACCGTGCGCGTGTACCGAGGCCGGGGCAACCGCTCACCTGTCCATTAGGATCTTCACGGACTTGGTGTTCTGCAGGGAGAGAACAGGGTCAGCCAGTGGGAAAGTGCAGGCGGAAGCTACCCGCCCTCCACGTCCCCGGGCAAGGGAGAGGGGACGGCCACCATTTTTGGAAACCAGAATAGCGATTTTTTGAAAACTCGCTGTGTGCCCTACGCCACTGTAACTACTTTGCAGCTGCTGTTTC